GGATAACGTAGCATTACACTTAATTACATTAGATAATTTTTTATTTATTTGTAAAATTACAGACATTATTAAATTTATAATATTTATATTCTAACGCATTATTTAACATTAAATTCACATTGTTAATATTAACAATGTATCAACACGATGTGTTGTTTAATTTATATATACGAAACCTTACTACTGAAGACTCCCTCTTTTTGTCACTATAAACAGGCGGAGGGAGCAGCAATGGCTCTCCCCCTATAGGTACTTTATGGCCTCTACCTGTTTACAGAGGAGGGGCTTTTCGTAAAGTTATTAGATAGATATATATATATGTATATATATAAGTATATATATACATCTATCAAAAAATTATAATAAAAAAAAAAAATTATTTCGGGGAAAAAGCCCCTATTTATATAAATTTTATATCACGTGCATCACGTGATATTACTTAATAATTACCGCAGCTTAGCTGCGGTATAATGAAAAAAAAAATTAAGCTTTTTTTAGCAAAAGCTTAATTTTTTTTTCTCACGGCCTTTACTTCCCCTTCTTTCGCCATTTCACCTTCCCTGTTTCTCTCACCTTCCCCTTCCCCCTTTCCCTTTCGTTCTCCCCCTCCCTTTTCGTTCCATTTCCCCTTTCCTTTTCGTTCTCCCCTCCCTTTTCGTTCCATTTCCCTTTCCCTTTCGTTCTTTTCGTTCCATTTCCCCTTTCCTTTTTGTTTCCCCCTCCCTTTTTGTTTCATTTTCCCCTTTCCCCTTTTGTTCTTCCTCCCTTTTCGTCCTTTTCCCTTTCGTTTTCCCCTTTCCCTTTTCGTTCTTCTTTTTCCCTTCCCTTCCCCTTTTACTGTAAATTAGAAATATCGGAAATTTCCTTTCAGAAAAACAAAAGGGTAAGTTTTGAATTGTTCGATTCGAAACTTTAATATTTTTTTTATTTTTTAGGAAACATTTCTAACGTTTCCTATATCTTCTTTTTTTTATAGGTCTTTTCGCCGTATTCAACTTGGAAAAACGAAACTTTTTTTAAAAAAATCTTTTAATTTAGGAAACATTACTAACGTTTCCAATAATTCTTTTTTTTTGTAGGTTTTTTTGGCGTGCTCGACTTAGAAAATGAAATGGTAAGTTTCGAGGTGTTCGCCTCGAAACTTTTTTTCTAAATTCTTTTTAGGAAACATACTGACGTTTCCTTTCTTTTTTTTTTATAGATTTTTCGGTGGTTTGACTTTGGGAAATGAGAAACCGAAAGGTAAGTTTCGAAGCGTTTTGCTTCGAAACTTTTTTTTAAAAAAAAAATTTTTTAATTTTTTGTAAGGAAACGTTTCTAAGTTTCCTTTTCCTTTTTCTTTTTGTAGGAACGCCGGACGAAATTTTTGGGTGAAAGGTAATATTTTCATTTTTTTTGTTAATAATTTTTTCTACGAAACGTTAACTAACGTTTCAGTTTTTTTTATAGATCCATGGCTTCGCCTCCAGGACGAGATTTCGAAGGTAAATATTTACCTTCGAATCAATTTTGTTTTTTTTTTTTTGTTTAACGAAACGTTAGTAAACGTTTACTAACGTTTCGTTTATCTTTATTTTTGTAGTTTATTTTCCGGTCGCCTTCTGTATGGAAGAATTTTGAAGGTAAATATAAGAACCTTTGAAGTTTATTTGTTTTATTTACAATGAAACGTTTACTAACTTTCAGTTTTCATTTTTTAGGTTCCAGGATGCCGTTTCAACATTTCGAAGGTATTAGAACTTCGAAATTATTGGATTTTTGTTAT